GACTCCAAACAGATCCAGCTCCTTTAGCCTTTCCTTGTGAGGTGCTCCAGTCCCCTCATCTTTGGAGCCCTCCACAGGACTCACTCCAGTCTCTCTTACACAGAGGAACTCAAAAGTTGTATCCTTACTGCCAAAAAATTTCATACTTGCCTAATAATATGTATATGTTTTTAAAAAAGGAAAAAAAACCCCTATTTGTCAATCTGTGTTTTATTCCTTTATTTTGTACTCAGTTCTGCTATTAATAATGACAATTTCTTTATCCATATGAAAACTGTATTCATTTTCTAGAGATAAATAATTAATTTGAAATAATTATTTAACTTTATAAATAATTCTAAATTGAGGGATCATTCTTTAAGGCATACATGTTGACTGCGGAAATTCTGTGTGTTACAACAAATACCACAGTAGTATCAACTCATAAAAACAAAGAGTAGTCTGGAAACTCCTTAAAATACAGTTTTGGCAGAACTTTGTCTTTTAACTGATCCTCTAATGTGTCCTTGTGATAAAGCTGCATTCAAATCAAAAGCATTTTGGGTTTCACCATGGAATGACCTAGAAGGAAAACTCTATCTGGCACTATCAGGGAAGAAGAGAAAGCGAAATGCCTTTTTTTCTTGGCAATACACTGCCATTTGGTAATCAAAGAATATCCAGTTTCGGAATGACGAAGGATCCACTGGAACACACAGGGCAACAATTGTGCTTTTTTCCCAGTTGTTTAAAATTATTATTTTTTTTATCTTTCAAAATAACCACCTCAGCTGAAAATCCAATAAACTCAATATCTGAATTCAACTTTTGTGCCAATGAATTACTTCACTGTGCAGGATCAAGAGAATGTTTTAATCCCTCTTCTGTTAGCAGGCTACCTTGCATAGGTAATCAGTAATGATACTTGATCTTCTGTGCTGAGGATAGGCTGAATGGGACTAATATATTATTAGGAGGAACTGAATTTCCAATTAGATGTCTGGATACTTAATTCAGCTGTGATTTGTAATGCTGAAGACTCATCTGGAATTACAGGCTTGCAATTATGGTCAGGATTTTTTTTCCAGTCTGCCATTTTCCCATTTACATTATCTAAATTATATGCATTTTTTTTTTCTTACAGAAATTCATCAAGTACCAAAACTTTGGAGTGAGAAATAATTACAACTAATTATGTAACCCAGTCATCCCTCATCTAGAGTACGGCAGCATGAATGCCATACGGTTAGCTGGTTTGTGAGTGGTAACTCTGTTGAAACAGAGCTGTTAAAGCTGGGATAGGATTACTTTGACAGTCCTGCAATGTATTTTGTTACCAAGGACTTCTTCAAAAAGTAGATCAACTAATTAAATTAATCTCTTCAAATTTATAAATCTCTACATATTAATTTAAATTATCAGCACTACTTGAGCATTCCAAACCTGAACAGATCAGTAAGAGAAAAAAGGATGACTTATTATGTGGCTTGATGCCTGTTAGATTTACAGCACTTTGGCTTGTTATACTGTCCAACTGAACATCTGTGAGTATTACATCAGCTGGAAGTGCAAATGTCTTTCAATTTAAATCCCAAATCCATGTCTCTGCCTACCTTAGCTAAATAACCAGGCTCCAGGAGGCTGAGGAGAGCTGAACACACAGCAAAGAACAAGAACAGTAGACAATCAGTGACAGCTAGTTAGTAATTTGGGAGCCTTGTATTTCCAAACCATGCCAAATAGTTTTTAAATACTCAAAACCTACAGTAGAATCCAGAGCTAGGAAAAAGCCAGTGAAATAGAAGCTAAAAAGTTCAGCACAAACATGAGTGGAGCAAGAGCTTCTGAGAGTATGAATATATTTTAAATCCTAAATCTCAGTGCCTGGGATGGAAGTAGTGGCAGTTTCTCATAGCTGTGGAGAGTGCCCTCATTCACTGGATTTGCTGTTCAGCTCTTTCTTAAGGTGGTGGTACTGTCCTCCGCAGAACAGAAAAGACTTGCTCTTACTTTTAAGGTGTGATGAAGCTTGTGCTGTTCACAAAGGTCATTGCAGCAAGCTTCAAAAGGCTTTTTAGCATGTGTCCACCATGGTGTCATTTCAAATAGGAATTTTTTGCTGAACATTTAAACTTACTTCAGAGAGAATTCACTGGGGAGCCTCTAAAATACTTTATATTTCCTTTTGTTATTTTTTGTGTCTCTTTAAAAATACAAAGTATGGCACATGCAAACATAGCTGCCATAATCTGAAATTTCTATACAGGTGTAGGCAAAATACTTACAACTGTACAGGTCTGGAGCAACAAGCATGGCACTAATACATAAAACAAAACTCTGTCATCTGAACCTATTAAAAATAGTATATTTACATTTTGTTGCCCTTAAATTACTTCTGCAAAGGCTGTATTGCATATGGATAGACAGAATACACTTAAGAAGAAGCTGCAGTGTGCTTTTTCCTTTTACTATGAAAATGTTTTGTGCCTTACATCATACATTCTTCATACTTTTATCAAATCTCCACATTCCTGTTGGTAGAGCAATATGAGCACAGCTTGTACATGACAATGACCAAACATAATTACAGTTTTTTTATTCTGATTCTTGCATGGAAAGTATCAGGTGCATTTCCTGATGATATATGTTAATTGCCCCATAGAACAAGCCATCCTTTAGCAGCCACATAAAGATTAAGCTACAATCAATTCCATTTATAGAAGTTTTTTCAAATTGTGTGCTTTTACTATATTAAGCAGTGAAAGAAAACAGCCACCCAAGGACTACTTTTAAACTCAAAAGGGGAAAAGAGAATAATGTGATAAGAGAAAAACTCTTATCAATTCTTAATGTGAAAAGGAAAACTCTTAAAAAATCAAAGAAAAGGCCTCTCTGAAACAGTGTAAATAATTTTGTTCCACACCTAATTTTGCTTCCAGTGTTGTGAACAGGATTTGTATCAAAGTTTTACTGCACTTCAGTTTCACCTCTGTACTGTAAAAGCCTTGCTGGAGCAAGTTTTGAGATTCTTCTCTAACTAAGAGAAGCTGCATATCTGGATTTTGCCAAGCAGCTGCAGTGGCCCTTACAGAAGTGCCTACTCCATAATGTGTCTGCTCCAAAAGAACAGCTGTACCTTTCAGTGCAGCTCCCTCAGTGTCTGCTGGGGATGCCATGCATCATGAAAAGGCCTTCGGACCATAAGGGTGCCACAGCAAAGAGAGAGAACATCAACTTCACCTATGAAGTATTTCCCTTCTTTTACACTTTCAAATCTGGTAAAAAAAAATAAAAAGATGCAATCCTATGGAAAGGTTCAGGGCAACCAGCATCAGCCCTCAAGCTCATAACCATGACACTGGATGAGTTGCTAAAATCAGCAGGTACTGTTTTGCTCTACACACTCCTTGAAAAGCACATACTGCCATGGGCTGGCTGAAGATGAAAAGCAGTAACCTACCTTGAGCGTGGCAGAGTATAGCAAACAACTACCATAGCTGAGGATGTGAGTTTGTTGTTTGAATAAGCTGTCCTCAAGAAATATAAAAAGAAAGGCTTAAGAAAAAGACACAGTGTTTACTAAATTAAGTGCAGACGGTCATCACAAATTATTAAAAGACAAATTCATACTATGGTTCAAATAACTTCTTAAATAAGCTCCACACATTCTAAAGGGAATAAGAATTTCTTTATCAAGAGTTACTCTCTAACGTCCTTTGCTTATTTTTATGTATTTAGCTAATACTGTTATGCATGCGGTTTATTGCAATAACCTGAAAAAAACATGTATGAAATTAATCTTCCAGTTAGAAAAATGTTGCATCTAAAAATCTGAAAAATTAATTGGCTCATGTTTCATATGGTAATGATTAAGTTTGTTGGCCAGTCTGATGCAGTTTCTGGTTCATATGTTTTTAAAAGTTCTAAACTTCTTACAGTATTTGTACATTCTTGAGATAACATCTAATTCTGTATTGCACTGCAACCATGCTGTTGTACTTGACATAAGCATCCTGACTAACAAAATACTTTTTTGCTGTTTCCTCCAAATATATACACAGTGATGTAAAAATCAAAAGAAGCAAGAACTTTCTTCAACAATGAAGATGTACAACAAAGCTTCCCTCAGTCACGGTGCTACCACATGTTTTTCCTTTACCTTTGCCCAGCTGAACTGGCATGCTCTCAGACTTCATCATCCTCTGCTGCTGTGACTGGTGGTGGTGCTGGTGGTGCTGGTGGTGCTGGTGGTGCTGAGGGCCATCCACTGTGCTCCTGCTTGGCATTGAAGAGGGAGGGAAGCTGCTCCCGCCAGCAGGAGTGCCCACTGCCCCACCCGAAGCCATGGCCGGAGCAATGAGCTTTCGGCCAAAATTCAGTAAGCTGTTGGAGACTTTGTTTATGTTCAGAGGGGTGGCTTTAGCACTGGCACTGAGAAAAAAAGAGAAGAAATCACTGCATCATTGCCAATGGTTTGGACAGGCACAGCTATACGTGCATCGTTCTTCAAAACTCAGAGATAAAAATCCAAGATTTGAATGTTACAAAGAAGGTGTTTTACTACGATTGCACTGGAATACACACAGATACCACAGGGACTGGGTGTGGTATGAATTCTTCCCAACCAGAAGTGGACAGTTTTTTTTGGTTGTTCTCCCTGAAAAATGCAGACTAACCCCAAACAAAGTGAGTTTGTACCAATTTTCTTAATTTGCCTTCCTAAAAAAAAAAAAAACAAACCAAAAAAACCGTGAAAAAAAGCAATCCGGTCTCTACAGAATCAAAAACTTAAAAAAAAATGAACTTTTGTACTTATTCGAGGATTGTTTTAATATTTATTTCTGTTAGATTACATTCTCTCCAATGTTTAAAGTGACTCAACCTCAAACATTTCTTTCAGCAAGCAAAGCTAACACTGGATTGTCTTTTCAGGATGGCAGGGCTAGATGTCTCTTGCTCTGAGTTCACCTGCTGCACACCCAATCATTTCAAGCAAAGCACTTTTTAACAGGAATCCTGATTTCTAAAGTGATTCTACTGATTAACTGCTTCAGGGTATAACACATATACTGAACCACAATCCTTATAATTGTTACTTTTTAACTACAGCGGCTATTTAATTCATTTCAGTTATATGCAACATTAAGAATGAGGAAATTGTCAAACCATTTAATTTGTCTAAAATAAAGAGGCAAAGAACCTTTTAATTCCCAGTGGAAGTGTTCACATAACCCACAGATTAGCAAAGCCATTCTTATTTGTTCATGCAGTAATTCCCTGCCTTATATAATTAATGCTTGAAATACCCTTCACAGAAATATATCACAACCACAAAAACCTTTTGACTCCTGAGGTTTTATTTTACTGATCTGTACTTCCATGATATAAATAGCTGTCCTTTAAAAACATGAAGAAATGTAATTAAAACCAACACAATCATTTTATTGGAGAAAAACACTTTACAATGTTTTGGGAAAGTTGAACTAAAAATAAACTACAAATGAATTAATACGGGTAATTTGTAACTTCTGCAGACACCTGGAAGAGTAATTTTGATTTTGCTCTTCCTCTAATTTCTCTGTTTGTCTCCAGAGATGGGTTTTTTTAGAATACACAATACAAACATGCACACACATATAGAGCACATCCAGAAAATAACAACAGCTGAGTTGTTTAGAATCAGAATAGATACTCAGAATAGACAGAAAAGGAGAGCTGTCAGAAGGAAGTATGAGAGCCTGCACACTCACAGGATACACCCCAAGCTGTGTGGGGCGCTTCTGCCATATAAACTGGTGATGAAGAAAGATGACATCTATAATTTTTTAGGAGGAACAGCAGTGCAGAGACTGGGACCACGTGTTGCTTCCCAGTTTATGGAAGCTGGGAAAGAATAATTGCTTAATAATAAGTACAGGATGTTTCTGTGCCTCCTGATTTTATTGATTGCTGCTGGTGTTACAAAAAGTCCTTCCACAGTCATCTGAGAGTGAATGACAAAGTCACTATGAGGAAAGCACCTGCAGAACTATAATGTACTGTTGCAGGAGGTCCAAATGGTTTCAAAAGCAAACTGAGTAGTTGTGAGACTGAAGTGTTAATGGTTAGGGACTCAAACAATCCCCGACGTGCAAAAGCTTCAGGTGCTTTGCTGAGGCCAGGTTTGCACCTCACAACTGAAGGGAGGAGGAGGAGTTTTTGGATGTTTGGTGGATCCTGGGTGAGATGCAGAAGTCTGCTGACCCCGACCTTGAGAGAAATCGAGACAGCTGTCCACTTGCTCCATGCAGTGCCTGCATGGAGTGATTCAAGGATTGCTTGTGTATCACCGTGCTGGATCTTTGCTGCAGCACAAAATGGAATTTCTGAAGTTATAGCTGATTTGGTTCCACTAACAGCTGCAAAACCCACCACTGCAAACTCAATAGCCACAATCACCTGTGTGATTGAGCATTGACAGGGTGGTTTTAAAGTCCCCTTCTAGTTTTCCTGCCTGAGTGGTGAAGGAGCCAACAAAGAATTGTGGCTTCCAGTTTACTTCAGGCAATTGAATGCCAATACTGTGCCTTTAAGCATTGTTCAGCTGGCACAGGCTTGGAAGGGAGGGCAATACACCTTTAACAGCCTCCTGCAAGGGTATGAACATCCCCCCACCATTGCTCAGGCTGCGCAATGAACAGTCTCACTCCCTCTGGAAATGAGATTAATTGGAGGAGATCCCCCTGAAAAGGTGGGGAAAGCAACAACAGCAGTGTGAAAAGCACTTCATGAGACTGAAGTTGAGATTCCACCTGAGAAATATCATAAGTCCAAGCTGTTAAACAACTTTAGCTACTCTTTAGTAGCTAAAGGGTAACCTGTCCAGACCTTGAAACTTGTATTGTCTTCTTTTGCCAGGAAGGATGACACCACACTCCCACTGAAGATCAAAGGACGTGAGTCACCCCGGTAAGGAGTCCAACACTTTGGTCCCCTCAGACCCCCAGAACCTGGATTTACTGGATTAACCAGTTCTGAGTGTCGGCTGACCACTGGATGGAGTGGATTTATATGTGAAAGCTCATAGAAAACAGCCAGGGAGATTTGATAATCACTTTTCCCTTGGGCTCTTTAAAATATTTGATTATTTTTGTGGTGGACACAGGAGCACAAATGTCAACATTTCAAACTGAAATTGCTGCTCTAGCAAATTATGCCAGACAGGAAAAGAAGTTTGGTATATGAATCAACACTCAATGGATTGCTTCTTTTTAATAATCTGCCTGGAGTTGGCTTAGTTTTCTCTTTTCTTTCATAGGAATGTGCTAATAGATGAAGTCAAGCTGAATGGGAGCTCAGTTATCAACAGTTGCAATAAATCTCATTACATTGCCAGTTTTGGGGGTCATACCAGTAATATGGCTGAGATTCAGAACCCAAACTTTAGTATATTTTCCCCTCTGTTTACTGAAAACAATCACTGAAGTTGGAGTTTGGGGTGGTACATATCACTCACTCACCTGAAACATTAACTTAGAAAGAAAATAATGGCTTGCACATTGAGTCCTAGGTTTACATTGACTCTAAATCTAGAACCTTCACAATCACTACAAAACCCCTTGACTTTACACAAAAAATTATATTTACTGAAAGTAAGTGATTTACACTGACAGGCCACCTTAACAACAAAGCCACTGGACACTTTGAGCTTCATGTATCATTGGAATAGCGATAACACACAGATGCGGGAAACAAAGCTTTTACAGAGGTTTGTGTATTTGTGTCCAGCAGCTTGTTTCTCTCTTGTTTCTTTATTTTTCAGCTATATTTTACTTAATGAAAAGGTGTCAGTTTTTCTTCTACACCGTTTGATTTGCTGGTTTGACATATATCTACACTAGGACAAATTACTTTATTTGATTTTTCAGATGGTTGGAAAGAGACTTTTTGAGAAAAATTTCATTTTACAGGAACAATAAACATAAACAATTGCTAAACCTTTATGTCCAAAACATTATTATTATAAATGCTTCCAACAGTAAAAGGCAAGAATATTTTAGAACTACATGACAATTAGAAAGGACAGGTATCACAGCTCCTAATAACCTGTGGTGTGATTTGGCTGTGCTATGAACTGACACTGCTAATGATCAGCTCAGAACATATATAAATTAATGAAAAATAAATAATGATGGTATCTAAATATCTTTTTAAGAGGTGGTTTTAAAAAATGCATTGTGAAGCAAAATATGTGCAATTTCTCTGAATTACAGCTTCAGAAAATGAACACTAGTGAGGTGTTACATCTCTGGAGGACTTACATTAAAAGTGAGCTGAAGTTCAGTAAAATAAGAACAATGTGTCTATTTCTTACCATTGAAATGTCTGATATATTAATGCAAAGGATGATTACAGCCATCAAACATGGATCAATCTACATTTTAGCCATCTAAATGTACCAGACATGCACAACAATCTCAAGAAAAATACTGATTGATTTACATTGTAGAGTTATCAGCAGATGCATTTAAAAGTAAGGCATCAGTTTAAAAATATGAGTATCAAGGAGACATGAATTCCATTCACGAAGCAAACAATTTTGTTTTATCACAATAAGCATCATTGACCTTGACTGTGAATAGTGTATTTTTAAACTAGCAGTAGGAAGATGATTCAATCTCTGCAGTTTTCTGTTAAGATGGAAATGTTTTGTTTTAAGCAGGCCTTATTCAAAGGCATTTCTCTTTTCAGTAAGTAATCATTACAAGAGATGAGAGACAGATAGATGAATATGACCGATTGAAAAGCTTTATATGTGATAAAATAAGCAATATATATTGGAGATTTGTCAAGATATTTTAAACATATCACTGAGCCCATGGAATTAAAGATGAAATAGACCTGGTTGTTGATTCAATCCATCTCTGCTCACTGCAGAAACATTTCCTAAAGTTACATCTTCCAGCTCTCTCCCCAGTCCAATCTTAAACAGCTTTACCACATTTGACCTACTCTAAGCATTCCTGTCTTGAGATGAATTTATCCCAGATTTCTTCTATCTGAATTATTCTAAACAACTTCCGATCTCATTTGGCATGTAGTCTGAGTATATGTGTAATTCATTTATATTCCTACATAGTTTTAGTCAATTTTTTCTTCTTGGAAGTTAGGTTTCTGGCACGTGTCATTCTTGTTTGGACTTTACAATTTACTTGTTTTTTCAAAATCTTTAAAGTCTTTCTTTTTGAAACTTCAAGCAACTTACTTTTCCAGTTTAGACAACACTGCAGATACTTTTTCAAAAGAATAAGTAAAAACATTAAGAAAATTAAATAGAATGCAGTAATTTTTGACACCTGTCCTCAGCTTTAAAGCCTGATTTATAAAGAAAAAGATGGTTTTGCAGTCACTCTTCTTAGCTTTTAATTTCTCCTTTTTTGTCCCTTTCTAAAACCTTCTCAAATTACTCCATTTTAATTTTAGTTGGCTTTTAACATTGCTGATTTCAACAGAATGTGACAGAGACATAGAAGTCTAAAAGCCAGCAAGTTCCCATGAATCAGCAGGCAGAGGGTACGGCTGGGGCCACATGCAACCTAAGAAAGTGCCTGTGACTGTGACAATTGAAGCATTATTGCTTGTGCTAAACTGACCTGCAGCCACCAGCAGCCACCAGCCATTGGCACCCACCTTGTGGCCACCCAGATAACCTAGTCTTGATGAGGAATTTTGGCATTATTGATACAAATCACTTCTAAAGAACGGGAGGTAAAGTTTGTAAAAATTACTTCAAACTGAATTTACATTCATTCAACTTAACTTAGCTTCTGGTACATGGATACTTCCGATTTTAATTAGGTACATTATCAGAATCAGTTCAGCTAGAGAACTCACACTGGCAGTGTTTTACTCTGTTTTTAGGATACATGTCACTGCGTAAAAGTGTCCTCAGCCTCCCTTAAAATAATGCTAGTGAGTGACTGCAACAGTACAAGTAAAAACTTCAATTTTTTCATGTAATAATAGTCAAGGGATAGATTTGAAATAAACGCTTCTAATACTGCTTATGTAATTCCTGTTTAGGATAAACGTGACTTCTGAAACATTTTCTTTATGTAAGGTCTTAGTTTGGTGAACATATATTTAGAGATAGCTTACCGGGTTTTGTTCATCAAGTCTGCTCCACGTGCTTTGTAATAATCTAAATTTTGTTGGAACTGGTGAGTCACCGGTCTTGGATTTCGCTAAAAAATAAAAGAGTACTTAATTGGAATTTTCTGGGAGATTTTAAGCAGAGATATGAAATACATTCATTAAAGAGGATTAGAAACTTACAGAATTTGACCACATCCAGGCTAAAGTGCTATGTTTTTAAAGAAAATGGTAATAGTATGGAGAAACTCTAGCAATTATTTTTAACTGAATACATCACTAGCTGTATCTCTGCTAGGCAAAGAATTAATTTTAGAGAGACAACCTGTACAATCCCACTAGATGGCACACAGAGCCTATATTTCCTCTCTAAATTTCACTGTACTGAAAACTGAGGCTGTGAATAAAGAACTGTTGTCCTATAATAAAGTGTATATAATTAATATTGAAACCAGAATCCACTTGTTATTCTCTACTTCTGACACAATGAAACTCTTTCATGGGATATGCAGCCTTCAGTAGTCCTGAAATCATCCTTTTGGGATCTAAGAATCCACTGAACATTAAGCATAGACTGCAGTATATACATAAAGTATCTTGATCGAATGCATGCATTCTCCTAAAGGACACTATTTGGAGGAGCAAGTAAATATTTTTAAGTAAAAAAATTTGCATGCAGATGGAAATGAAATAACAGAGCAGTACAGAGAGGCTCTTTAAAAAAAAAAATAAATGAGAAATGGCTTAAATAATTTCTAGTGCAAGAGAAAACAGTAAAGAAGTAAAAATTTCTGCAGTGGGATCAGATATATTGCATAAAAGAGATGTAAATACTTTCAAGTGCTTGCTACAAAGGTTTAATATTTTTTGGCTGTTGCCTTGTATTCTTATCTGTCTTCTTAAGTCCTGCTAGTAGTAAATACAATTTTAGTGAACCATGTATTGACCTTTCCAAAACTGTTGTTCACAGGTGAGAATTCATTATATTTTTGAAAATGTCAGTCTTCAGGTGTTTCAGTTTCACATGGTGCATTTGCTCTTCAGATTTCATTACAGACTGGAATTACCTACAGTCTTATCCTCTCATTTTCCATGTACGTACAGATAGCCCTCCTTCCTTCACAATCTTGTTTCTGGAGGAGGATACAGGACTTGAATTTCAAAGACCAAAACATTTCATGACCATAAAAGGAGGGAAGAAAATTTATAAAATTGGTAAATACCAAAGGCCAGGGTGATTTCTGGAAGAATATTAAAGGGTGGGAATTTCCAGATTGTTTTCTACAGTTGGACTTAATCTTGTATGAAATGTCTAATTTTCTTTCTTTGGAAACACAATAAACATTTTAAACATATATGTTTGTAATGTTCATTAAAAATGAAGTGACTAAAAGCTATTAGATAAACATTAAAAAAATTCTCATTTATCCTACCACCCACACTGTAATGGCTGTTCTACATTTTTCATCTCCTGTTATAAAAACAATGTTTGAATAACTCTAACGATTCATAGAGCTTGAAAGTCAGTCCTCATCAACTGACAGCAATAACAATGAATCAGCTTTAGTTACTATTGCTCTAGTTTGGTAATTCAATACATTTCTATGATAATCAAATCCAAACTGACGTGATGAGGATAACTGATGGTTCTGAGACTTCTGTCTGAGTAATCAAACAGTGTAACTTTTCTTCTATGAATTAAGTAACTTCTTTCTTTAGACGTTTTGAAGGGTAAGGTTGAAGAGTAAGAGATGGCTAAAATAATGGGCACTTCTAAGGCATAAAACAGCTTTTTGTAACTTTTTGTACAAGTCACCAGGTGCTAGCCAGATTTGCAATTTGCTTCCAATAACTCAGTATATATTGACAGTTATCAAAAACATTGAAATTTCTTTTTCACCACCTAATAAATAATAAGAAAGATTATTACACATTGCTTCTGAATTAAATAAAAACCCAAAACCAAAACAAGAGGAAAAGATCATGTGGAACAGTATCCTTAAACATATTTATGCAGAAATGACAAGCAATTGAAGACACGAAAAGCTGATCTTCTATCTAAGCACTTAAAGCCATTAATAGGAATAACATCTAACTCGAACATATGAATGAGGCTCAAGCATTACTTTCACAGGAGCCTATTTAAATTCCTGTGAGGTTTCAAGGTATCAAAGGAAGAAGCTGTTTAACGTACTATTACATGCAGTGGAAAAAAACTCTGAAAAAACATTAGAAATGCAATATAGTAAATGCCAAGGGTTACTACTGTAACATCATTGAGATATCCTCTCAAAAAATTTCAATATTAAAAAAACCTAAATTGATATATATGTTAGCAGACAAGTATCTGTGAAGTATCACCACAGACAATTTAAATCCTTCTGAAAACTGAACTTGAGACAGTAAAAAATATGTTATTTTGAAGATTATGATCTTTATGTCACTGTGGTTGTCCTTTAAGTTTTGTATTCTTTTCAACCATTTTGGTAAGTTAAATGTAAAATGCAGAACAGAAAACCTACACAATTATGATGCTTGTTCCTTAAGAATTTTAAAGTAATTCCCCTCTCTAGGCATTCAATTTGCGCTGTCCTCTAAATTGCAACCTATGTATCAGAATTAACGACTAAATTTATTTACAAAAAAAAAACCCTCTGTTGCTTAAAATATTCACAGCAACCAGTTTTTTCCTACACAGTGCCATTTAGAAAAAATCCAATTTGTATTTTTCATTACTAAAATAACCAAAATTATTCTTTTTCTTTTTCAATTTATGTACATTATGTTGTTACTAACTCAGAAAAAATATTTTTTTCTTAAAAGGATAATGTTAAAATGACAGTGAAATCAGTCCTTCAAATTTATAGTTTGTTGAATCCCGCCAAGAAATCGTGTGAGGGCTGAGGGCATGATACAGATTAACACATATATATGGTTTTCCCCTAATAAGGAATCAGAAAGCAGAAATCAGAAAAAAGCTGTCTATGACAATACTAAACCCCCCCCCCCCCCCCCTTTCCCACACCCATTTTGTAGGAGTAGTCTGCTGGATTTACACTTCTTCTAATCTTAATATCTATTTAGAGTGAACATAGTTTCAACTGGTAGAAAATGCCCAATTTATGCTTTTAAAAGGGCATTGTATGAAATTCACATATAGAAACATAGAAATGGATGTGATTTTGGACTTGTCTCTTCAAAATGTATTAGCTGAAGTCTAAAAGGGAAAAAAGCCTGAAAATGTTTCAGATATCTCTGAGGCACTCCTGCTTCTGAGCCTTTCCTTGCCTAAAAGATCCCCCTGTCCCCGGCTCATTTGCCTGCTAAGTGCCCTCCCTGTCCTCCTGTCTATTCCCAGCCACCCCCAGACTAACCCACTCCAATTCCCATGGCTGCCAGGAGGTTCTTGGGGACTTTCTATTTGCCTTTATCCTCTTCCAGGGCCATGGGGCTGAGCTAGCTTATACCACAGCTGCACTTTTCCTAGCCCAGGGACTGACACTGTGGTCAGAATCACACTGAACGCAGCTGATCCCCTAAACCTGCACAAACTGCTGAAAAGCAACTCCCACCAGCTAAGGATCCTGCTCCATATGCTCCAATTCCCAAGCAGACCCATTTTCCTCCCTGGCCTCTGGAGACACATCACATCACATTACCCAGGAATAGACAGGATATAGCAAAGCATGTTCGTGTGTGACAGAAGTCACAGGCTGTTCTACAATGCACCTGGTATCTCACCCCTGAATACACAGCATGTCTCAAAGTTTACATGCAGGTGCAAGTGGAGGAATCTCGATAACAATCTTTGTTGAGGTATTTTCTTTTCTCCCTTTTTAGTTTTATTAACGAGGGGAAAAAAATCAAACAGAATTTTGCGCGAAATCTGAAGGTTCAGAATAAGAGACAAGAATGAAAAAAACATTTTCAATATATCTAACGAAAAATGAGATGTATTTTAACAAACATGCTATTGCCTCACTGCCAAGGGAAAAACACTTGTCATCAGAGAAATGAATTGCTCAGCTGTTTATAAGCAAAAAGCTCTGGGGGAATTTCTCAAGGCCCAAACCACAAAGCATTGCAGGGTTACACAAACATATGTTGCAGGTGTTTTAGGGTAGACAGGTGGGAAAACCTCAGCTACTAAAAAAATACTCCACTTAATAGATTGTATCTGAAACTAAACCTCAGTGTAACAGAGAAAAATCAAACAAAATAGCAGCAGTGAATTCTACATTCAGGCACAATAGACTGACCAAAACAATCATCTCACTAGTGTCAAATGGAATGTTTTAAAACTACTTTTTACAATATATTATCCAAATGCTGCCAAACATTTATTTTTTTCCCCCTAAACTACTAATATTTTAAGCTTAAATCAAAATCCAGATTGAACCAAACATATGTAAAATAAGAGGAGGATCATGATGGCATGTTGTTCTACTTATTAAAAAAAATATTTCCAGGGAGTCAATTTTCTCCTTTTTCCCCTTGTCAGCTGACATGGCAATACTGGATTTCTTAATAATTCTTGTACTGCCTAAGAAATTTTTGTATTAAAATTCTATTTTTTTCCCTTTCATTTGTTTCTAATGAAAGTTGGAGGATTATGTGAACTTAAATTCAAATAGGACTGAGAGGTCAGGAAAGCTTGACCTTTTCCTGCTAGATATCTATGCTACTTTTTCATTAAAGATGACATAAACATGACAAAAAGTTTGACTGGGAACAGAGCTGAAATATAGCAGCTGTGATGTGAATAAAGGATACAGTTTGTTTAGTTCAGCAGCAGTTTTTCCATTAGGCACTAATAATTAATGTGAAGTATTTACTAATTATTATCTAATAACTTGAGAGAGAATTTCACCTTTCCTCTTTTTATTTTGTCAGATGTTTAGGCAGCTGTCTCCACCCCACATGGGTGGAGAACACACTTATACAGTATAAGCAAAGGCTTAACATTACAGAAACATATCACAGTATTTTGTATACTAAACAACCAAACCACCCCAAACTCCAAAGCACCCAAAATAAAAAAAAAAACAACAAAACAACCTGTTCCCCAAACAAACAAACAAACCTTCCTTTT